GTTGTAGATCCAGAAATTAATAAAATAATGAATGGAATCAAAGCAGTAGATTATTTAATAACTATTTCAAGCCATTATTATGTTACTCGCTTCAAGATTTGCAATGAATGGACTGTGGATTCCAAAGTGGAAATTGATTACCAAAAGCTATTCCTCATTGATTTAAAATAATTTGTTATTTTTTTGGGGCCACTACTCTGCTAAAGCCTTTATATTTTCACTCCCATTTATTATTCAATATTCAATATTGAATTACTGGGTATTTCTATTTTATTTTTATTTTTTAAACAATCCTAAAAAATTTACTTTTTTGTGGAAAAAATTTATTGTTTTATAAATATTATTATAGTTGTATTCATATTAAGACAATCATTCCTGAAATGGACATTCTGTTACACTTCTTTCTTTACCTGATTCTTTCGCTTAACAACGATTTAGCTTTGGTCCCAAAAAGAATTATTACTAGCCAATGAAATACTAGCTCTAAAAACCAGAACTTTAAAGACCACTACGCGGCAATGTATGAATCGAATACTAACCAAATAAAACTGTAATTGTTAAGAGTTTGTGCTACATATGATTATTTTTTAGGTGATGTATTTTGAATTATTTTCTATTTTTGGTAAATATAAATGGCTCTGTCTGTGTGTGTATGCAGTATTCCCCATTTAATAATTATGATGTAAGAAGCTTAGCTAAATTTTAAAGATCGGTAAATTTGGCCCAACAGCATAAATAAGCAATACACTGAATATAATAATATAATAATAAGAGACCAACATCACAGTAATCGATCATTCGTTCTAATTAATAATTTCTTTTAAATATCATAACCAAAAATACATCATTCATAATATAAATTGTTATTTTATAAAGCGAAAAAGAGACGAAAAAAATTTCTAGGCTGACGATCGCAAAATTTTTTCGTATTCATTTACTTTATCTAGTAACTTCAAATATTCGGATTTTTGTAGTTCTATTTGTTTTAGCAAATTCTCGGTTTCTTGTGATTTCAGCTTTTGTTCCTCCAGTTCTTTTTTGAGATCCTGATTTTCTTTTTTCAAATTTTTTCCCTTTTCACCTGATTCATTTTGAATTCCAATCTGTCACGTCAAAAAAATTTTTAATAGTTAAATATATGTGTATGCGAGTGCGTGCGTGCGTGCGATGTGAGTGTAAATTACCTCTCTTTTAGCAGATTCAAGTTGACCTTCAGATTTTGTAAGATCCAATATTAATATATATGTTCGATTCAAGATTCTAAAGTTTATTTTTTTGAGAAAAAATTAATTTTTTGTTATAAAAATAAATTAAAAACAATAACATAATAAATAGGGAAAACAGACACTTACAATGAAAGAAAAAGTGTAAATCCAGTGAGGTACCTGTAAATAATTGAAAACAATAATAATAATATTTATAGATTATAAATCTCTAATAATTGTAATAATTCATAAATATAAATATAAATATCTCACTCTTACATATTACGTTGATTATAAAATTTTTTAGCAGCATGGACAGATGCTAATCTTTGATCAGAGCGGTCAACTATTTCTTTTTGTATTTTGTAAGTACCATATGTAGCATCTACGGAGAAATAAATTTTTTA